GAGGTAATAACGTTCTCAAAAAGCAGGGACTATCAAAGGTATACTTTTACCTCTTCCCAGAATGATCACAGAACCATTTTGAGTAAAATTATACCCACTATGTATGTACTCTAACTCTTCTACTCCCAACAATATATACATGTCTTTGACAGATGTATATGATGGAAATAATTTGCTGTCTTACCAATAAACTTCATGATGTCTAACTGTCCTTTACAGATTTTTCATATCACATTTAGCTATCAGAGCATAAATTCCTAAATGGCTGAAGACCTAAGATGTAGTCTTAGATAATAGTAACTGGCTGTGTGATACCTTCTTCTTTTATTTAAAGAAATTGTATAATATCTTCCTTTGGTCTCTTTCAGCAGTAACACAGTAAATCCTTGATATAATGGACTAATTCGAGCAAGGGGGTGTCCATTAAAGCTGAAAGTCCGTTATATAATAAAGTAGGTTTTCCGAATGCATATATTAAAAAATTGACAAATTAGTTTACCTGTTTTACTTATGTAGACAGTTTTGTGTAATGAAAATTAAGTATGTATGAAAAGTTTAATTTCACAGAAAAGTTTTCTATATGTATTACAGTAATTTAAAATTTATACTGAATAGGCTAGTAAATGCATACATTTACCAGTCACTGGAGTAAAAAAATGCACACGGCTGGGGAGTGGCTTAGCACACGTTGTTGGCCAGCATACCTCATGCCACACAACAACAGAACTAATTACCACTCGCAATCACGTGCTAATCACGCACCAATCATTGTTTACCAGTGGTGACTCCTGGATTTAAATATGTAGACTATAGTTGTAGACATGTAATATTTATTTATATTGGCAAAATTACTACAGTGTTTTTTCCAATATATGGCCTATTTGCTAAAATGTGTTTAAAATAATAGTGAATTAATAAAAATAACCTGTTAATTTAATTACAAGCACATCTTGGTTAAGAGCATTTTAAAATTAACAGGGTGTTAATTTTCACATATGACATACGGACTGGAAATTTTGTCCGTTAATCCGAAGTCCATTAAATCAAGGCCCACAAAATCAAGGGTTTACTGTATGATTCTATTAAAACTACTGTCTATGAAATTATTTTTGTACATTACCTAATACACAAAGTGGGCACTTCATTGTCAAGAGTCTTGCTCATCTTTCATGACTCAATTCATGTAGTTTCTCTTTTTATTTTTTGATTTTTATGTTTCTAATATTTTTAAAAAGCTGATGTTGAGACAGAGGAAGGGAAAGAGAGTGAGAGAAACATTGATGTGAAAGTGAAACATTGATAGGCTGCCTCCTACATGCCCCCTAATGGGGATAGAGCCAAACCTCAGGCATGTGCCCTGACAAGAAATTGAACCAGCAACTTTTGGTGCAGGGCTAGCTCCTTTTTTAAGTTTTCCTTTGCCATCCCAAATAGAGACAATCTTATCTGTCTGAACATTTACAGAAGTCATTGTTAATACTACATTTGTGAAGCTTATATACAATATTGTATAATTATTTTAATTCATGTGTTGTTTAATCTGACTGTAAGATCCTAGAAGACATATTCATCTCTATTGCCCCTTATAGTGTCTTGTTCTGATGTTTAATACTTTTTTATTGAACCAGCTAAGCTGTTTTTCGAAAGTTATAATCACAAAAAGCTTGACATATCAAATATTGATATAACTATTCTCATTCGTAAATTTTCTTGGGGAGGGCATAGAAAATAATTTAGGTAAACTAATCAGGCATTGAGGTTTCTTAGGAATCTTAGATGCTAAAATAGTGAATTTAGGAGTATAAGGTGAACCAGAACTTTCACTTTTCCAAATCCTACTGGATAACCATATGTGTATGTGAAGTGTACAAAAGGAATGGATATTTAGAAAAAGAATGGAAGAAAAAATTTGAAGAAGAGCTATTGATATGACAATGACAAAATTTGGGTAGCTATTCTGTGAAGGCCATTTGCTAGAAGTCTCTAAATTGCCATTTTTAGCTTGAACCCTCCTTCTTAACCAATAGCTACGTATATACTTACATATTTGCAGTTTAGTTTTAATAAAATAAAATTAAAGGAATACACACAACCAGAAGAGCTGGCTGTGTTAGCTCTTAAACCTGTCTGTCAGTGATACTTGTTATTGTTAAGTATATGATTCAATTAAATATTACATTAAAAAAGATGAAAAGTGAGTAAAAATAAGTTGTTTCTGTGAAAACCAACTGGATGCTTTGGAAAGTTCAATAAAAGAATTGCTAAAACCAGGCCAGTGTGGCTCAGTGGTTGAATATCAACCCAGGAACCAAGAGGTCGCTGGTTTGATTCCCCATCAGGGTACATGCCAGGGTTGCAGTCTTGATCCCCAGTGAGGGGCATGCAGGAGGCAGCCAATCTATGTTTCCCTCTCATCGATGTTACTATCTCTTTCTAAAAATCAATAAAAACATTTTTTTAAAAAAAAGAGTTGCTAAAAATGCTGTTAACTATATGTAAATCAATTAGGAAAGACTGGGGAAAGTCATAAAAATCTCTAAGGATTATACAACTACATTGCTCACAAGTGTCTAGTTTAATCCTTTTTTAAAGGTATTAAGTGAAAATTGTCCTTAAAGAAGCCAAGATTATAGGTATGTTTTATGCAAGAAAGAGGACTCCTATTTAAAAATAAATAATGGCCCTATATCACAGGAGTGATTAATACATTTAAAGTACAAGCTTACAATGTTTAAAGTTGTGTGAACCACTTTTTATACTTAGGGCTCTCTTTTGACAATGTACCAATTAGCAACCCAAACTGCTTCAGGTAAAGAGGGTTTCTTTTAAATTTCATAAATAACTTATTTAAGAAGATCTCATAGAAGTGTCACATAAAAACTGCAATGTTGTAGATAAGACACATGTATTCATTCACATTACACAATTTTATGCATGAGAAATTAATACAAAGGTTACAGCAGACTGGAAAAAAAATCAGACAAAAATCTAATCCTAACAGCAACTATTCAGTATTGCTTTGCTGATGCTTATGAAAACATAAGCTATGTTTCTGTATCTAAAATATTTTGACAATTACAATTTGTATCAGAGTCTACTATATTACATTGCTAGTGAACATGAGAAAAACTAATCTTATGCTCTCAAAGCAGAAATAAAATATCTAGTATTTGCTTACACAAAGAAAAATTGTTTCATCTTTTCTTCTTGGAATGCATTTATGAGGAAGAAATAATTAGACCAAAATTGTAAAAATTAGGTACAAATGTTTTGAAAACCAATCGCTTTGCATCTCAAAACTGAAAGGCAACAGGTATCACCAAGTGAAAACTGTAAAAGTCAAACTGACCTAACAGTTTAAGAAAACAGAGTTTCTAAAGAAACGACAGCGTTTTTGTAAAATTCCTTATTTCTTGTAAGTTTCCTACAAATTTATGATGAGGCAAAACACTTAATATGTCAGGTCTAGATACCACAGACAGGTAATTTAAAATAACAATTTGTAAATCTAAGCCATCTTAACATATTGGTTCTATTTTTGCAAATGACCCTAAATGTTAACCAGAAATACGTTAAATTTTACCAAATAAACTTTGTTTCAAATGACTTAAATTAGAATTACAAAGAAGTGTTTCAGATCGACATTTTATGTGATATTCTATTTATAATGTCATCTGACTATACTTTTAAATTCATCAACACTTCGGTTTGCCTATTGCACAGATGCTAAAGCTGGCAAAAAATAATCACTCAAAAAACCTCCAACATAAGAAAATATGTCTTAAAATATTTTTCTGTCACATCTTCTCATAAAAAAACCCCAGCATGACAAATATACCTTCCCTCTTATTAACTCTTATATATATGCCATACAAGGATTGAGGATTTTATTAAAATAAACAACATAATATGCTAAACAACTTAAAAACAAAAGCTTTTACATTTACCAAAATACTTCAGTTTCCTCTATTAACTGTAACCAAAATATACGCTTCAATAAGCAATAAGTATTAAGGTAAACTATTTTGATAGAAAATTGGTAAATAATTTTTCAAAAGCTAGGAACAAACATATTAGTGATCTTTAGCTCATTTCCCTTCAAATACAAAATTTTTGTTAAAAGAGGATAAAGGAGAATAAAATGCAGAAGATGGAGGCATTCATTGCCTTAAACAATTAGGAAAAGCAGTTCTGATATATGAAAAATAATGTGGGTAAATCTGGGTAAAAATTATCTGGCTCCCTAGATTTATCTAAATATTTATTTTCTGAAATGAAAAATTTCCTTTTAAAAATTATACCCTCAAAATTTGTACACCAAAATTATTATACATACTTTCAAATATTATATTTATGCTTTGGGAATTTTCTAACCAGATGTAATAATTGTACTTAGCAAAGTAATAATTTAACAAAATATGCTTTTGTATGTTAACAAAAAAAATAAAAATTGGCATATAAATATAACATGTACCCACATTCTATGATTGATCAAGACTAGCACAGAAACTTTGATTATCTTCACTTAAGACAGAATATCTTCATTCCACTTAAAGTTACAAATAAAATGGAAAACTACATTTTTGCATAATTAGATGCTCCTGTAAACTTTTTTCTTATACTATATATTTAAATGCTACTAAAATAATGTGTGACAAGCTATTTGAGCCCTGTCTTTTTTACTGACTATGCCTTAAAGATAACAGCAGATTAAATTTTTGTTGCTTTTGTGTTTGTTCTATAAATAGCATCCCCCCCCCCATTTTTCCAGTGTCTTGGAATTCTAAGGTGTCCTAAAAGCAATGTAAGAGTTATAAGAGTAGATAACTAAATTATTTTAGAACCATTCTAAATTAGGTACACTAAAATACTATTCAATTCAATCAACATTAGATGCATCCACTGTACATCAGCATTCAGCGAGCAAATGCGAGCATAAATTATTTCATGAATAATTAAAATGAAAGCATCTAATATTATATGAAAGAGGTACATTTTACCTGGATTAGATGAGGCAATGCTTTTAGTGTAAGGCAAAACCAAATCCCCAGCTTGCATGGAAGCAAATCATGCCATTGTGGTTTCATCAGTAATCTAAAGGGAAAACAAAAGCAAAGAAGCAAAATATAAACAGAAAGTTGGGAGACAAAATATTTTTATAAAGATCATAATTTCTGTTTTGAATGACTTTCAACAAAAAATAAATTTTCAATGAAATATTTATGTTGGTTATCATTTATTCTGACTTATTCTATCACGAAATACAGTAGTTATAATAAATGCAGTATGTATAGCAACTAAGAGAAAGCTAAGATTTTGGAAAAGGAGACTCCTAATCAAGTTATAAAGATAAAGAAACAAAAGATCTCTTTCCAACCTAGACTTTCATCAGTTCTGCAAAATGAATTCTCAAACCTTATGATTACTTCAGCTATAAAAGACTAAACATCATCAGAGTGTTCCCCAGTGCTGACAAGCAGATATGAAGACTGTAGCATAAACAAACCAATAGATAAAAATTAATGTCATTTGCAGTTCACTGAAGCATTACTCACTGATGTCATCAGAACAGAAGACATGCAGAATAGTCTCTGATCTCCATCTCACATTGATCCAGTTCTGTCCTGCTGTGTGAACTATTTAAACCCTTTATTTCTTTCTATGAATCGATAGAAGAAATGGTAGTATCTTTCAGAGTGTACTGCATATCACTGCCTTTATCATATTGCCACTCCTGAACTAAACACTAAATGGTAGATTCGTCTAGTAATACTGTTTCTAAAGTTCAGTCTACAAATTTTAAACTACAAGAACTTGAGGGTTTAATTACTTAGATATATATTAACACATCACAAGGGGAAAAAACTTGTAGCACTTCTGCTTAAGATCAGAATTTATCTCATAAACTAATATGGCACATTATTAGTCTTTTAAAAAACCTACTACAGATGTAAATGTTAGCATATCTGAAATGAATATACATTTGAAACTGGATCACATTAAAGAAATATTTTAAAAGTTTCAAATTATAAAATATTTTTATATGGTCCTACCTTTCATTTTTTTCTGAAGCACCAAGTTTCGATAAATCCACACTCTTGCCACCTGTCTTTTTTTTCTTTTCTCTTTTTTTTCTACTAAGCAGTTCATCCTTAATGTGGAAAGAATTATAGTTACAGGTTATCATTAACATGTACTCTTCAAATGTTACCAAGAGTCTACTATGAAGGGTAAACATTATAAGGGAACATTTATGCAAATGTATGTAGGGTCCAACATGATTAAGTAAAATCATCAATCTTTAACAATAACTGTTGTCATAGTATCCAGTCCTTAAACACACATGAAGTTCAGCACTGTCAGTCATGTCTATCTCCATAGCAATCAAAGTTTTCTAAGCAGAGAAAGCATTCAACTTTTTCTTGTTCATCAACTTTAGTAATGTTACTTCAAAAAGAATGAGTAAACAGATGCTAATTCTGATAAATGTTTATTTTCAGCATATAGACATCCACAGCAGAATAAACTATGTAGTAGAATTTATTAGACTAAGAAAAATGTAATAACCTTTTAACCAACTGATCTATGAAATCATGAAATTATACTAATTTCAAGTCTTAGTTAAAAACTTTTAAAGTAAACATTGTTTATATGAGAGCCTGTGACACAAAAATTTCTAAAATCATTTTTACATGAAAAATATTTCTATCTGGAAGGTGATCATTAAGAAAACATGGCTCTAGTTTCTACCTTCTAATTTTCAGTTAGATATTGGGATCTTCACAAAATTTTATAACAAACTCAAAGTCACATTTTTAAAAAGAAGGATATTTTCTTCTTATAACCTGGGCTCTTCTTGACTTAGAAACATATCAAACACTAACTACTGAGCACAAAACTATTAAAATCAGAAGTATTTATAAAAACATTGAACTTTTCATCAGTTGAAAAATAAATGTTTGAAATTCCATATAAAATTAAGGAGGCTAGGATCTTTTGATTTATTACCAATACTTACCAGTTGTTTTTCCAGGTAGATTGACCACACCACAGCATAATGACCCACTGTGAGGATAATGAACAAAAGTAATGCCAGCTCAGCATTGCTCATTTTTCTCACCCGCCTGTAGTAGAATACAGGCTGTCGCCAATCTGGAAGTCCATTGATCAGAATATCATCATACCTACAGTAGCAAATATAACAGTTTTTTAAGGAAAGTTTGAAATAAAAAAACTTTATTTGTATCCATATTTAAAAAGAGAAAAAAGAAAATAATTTCTTCAAAATAGATAACATTTATGTAAATTACCAGCATTACAACAGCCTATAAATTGAAAACACTGTATGTAGGTCCAGTCACAGACAACCTTCAAAAGGGTACATAGTAATATACTGTGGATACCAGATCTTGTATTTTTACGAGACCCCAATGATGCGACTTCTGGAATGCCATCTAAACTAAAGGTGCCATATAGTCTATCTCTATCACAGTCTGATGTAAAGTACCCACCATGAAGTCAGCAACAAAAGGAAGGATCTCAACG